GAAGCGTTCGCCAGGCAACGGGTGGAGGCCTGGCCGTGCCCTGGCAACTGGCGGCCCCCCTGTTCCCCTTCCGCCCCTGAGTCGAAACCCGGCCCCTGGCGACGCCGACGCCGCTCCAAGGACCCCCCGCCGACTACCCCGCCACGGGAAGCGAGGCCCGCCGCGCGCCGAGGGCCCGAACCCTTAGACCCCGACACGGGGCAGCAGTTGTATAGAACCAAGAACAGCTGCACCCAGCGGGGTCTTCCCGGGGAGACCCCCGGCGAGACGATAAAGCGGCTCCAAGCCGCCCTGGGCGCGACGTTCACATGCGCCTGGCACGCGTTCGCCAAGCAGCGCGGCAAGGGCGCATTCGACCCACGACGACACGACCAGCAAACCTGCGTCAGTTTCCTGCACTCCTTCCGCAACCACAACTCCGATGTGAGGGCCATGAGCGACGCGCTGAAGCTCGGCGTCAACTGGGTTCAGTTGCAGCAGCGATTCCCACGCCGCAGAGATGGCGCGGGCAAGGGGCGCCAGGTACCCCCCTGCGGCGAGGCGCAAGGAGCGGACCATGGCGACGGGCGCGAAGAGGACCAGATTTGCAGCTCCGGGTACCACGGCACCTGGACTGGACAGCGCCCGCGGCGCTGACCAACCGCCGACCTGACCCCCTCGCCCTAGGGCAGCATGACACAACCGTCCTCGCACTCCCACCACTTGTGCCCCCTCCCCCCCGCCTGGACCCCTTTGCCCCCGTGGCACTCGCTCGAGCCACTCGCTCCCGCCACCTGCGCCCCCGACCCCCGCTCCGCCTTTCTCACCTGGCTGGGGGCCGTGCGTCCTCCTCTACCCCCCCCACCTGCGCCCCGCTGGCCCAGTGGCGCCCGCGTTCCACGGGCTACGGCTACTTGTCATTCCACCAGGGCCCGTCTTTTCCTTCTCCTCCCCTCCCCCTCTCCCGTATTCAAGGATCTGGGACTCTGTGTCCCACCTGTGCCCATCTGCGGCTACCCCTCGCCCCACGGCGCCACAGCACAACTGGCCAATCGCTTCCACCACCTTCGCCCCCGACCCCGACCCCCACCCCAACTCTCTCACCTGGCTGGAGACCGATGGTCCTCCCCTTCCCCACCACCTGCACCCCCATCGCCCCTGTGGCGCCCGCGTTCCACGGGCTGGCCACACACCCTTCCACCTGGACCCCGTCCTTCCCTTCCCTTCCCCTCCCCGTTTCCCGTATTCAAGGATCTGGGACTTTGTGTCCCACCTGTACCCATATGCGGAAGGAGATTCAAGGATCTGGGACTGCGTTCCACCTGTGCCCAACTGTGACACATTGGTGCACCGACGACTTGCGTGGCACGCCCTGTTTTTACCTGCAATGGGACCTTGCGTCCTACCTGTACCCCTTGGGGCTTGTCCCCACGTGAGCACCCCGGTGCAGCTGACGCGACTTCGGCTGGCGCGGGTGCCGGCCTCTCTGCCTCCCTGTTCGCTTCGCCCCCCCCCCGCTCGCTCCCCCCCCTCCCATGGCGGCGGCGCCCGGCGCAACGCGGCTCCGGCCTGGTGCTGGGCACTGCACCTTGCCGCTTCGGCGGCCCCGCTTGCCTTGGGCAGCGCGGCTCAGGCCCGGCCCTTGGCCGTGCGATCGCGAGCGCATCGTGCGTGGCTCCCGCCTGTCTTCACGCGCTGACTGTGCAGGTCCGGTTTCCTCCCTGCACACCACCGACATCCAGTCGGGCACGGACGGCCCTGTTTCTGGTCGCACCTCTTGCTGGCTGCTCCCTGGGCGTGGATTGGACTACCACCCCAGGCCGCTTCCGACCACCCAGTGGCACAACGCTGCGCATCGCCTTCGTGGTCCTCCTCATCTCCTGGGCCCCTCCTCACCATCTGGTGGCACACCGTTGCCTATCGCCTTCATGGTGGACTTCTTCCCCCCTGGACGTCGACCTGTTCACGTCCATCCGCACGCAGCACTTGAGGATTGTGTCTTCGATGCGCCGTCGACGGCAACACCACACCGTTCACCCTCCAGGACTTCGCCTCCAGCTCCTGTCCAAGGCGTTCCGTTTCCTGTGCAAGCTCCTCAGCACCGCCTGCACCCCGCGTTCTCCGGCCGCCTGAGGCCCCGCCCGCCTGTGCTCTGTCTGCCCGATTCGTGCTTTGCGCGGCCCGCCTAGCTCTTAACCGGAAGAGGTTCGCTCTCGACCCGCAGACCAAATTATCCCGGCAAAGCAACCTAACAGCGAAGTGTAGGAGCATATCTGGAAGCATTCCCCTTAAGATTCAGATGATAATCCAGTTGTAGAATTCTGCTGTTCTCGCAATCGTAGTCGCATTCGCGATGACAGTCGCAGTGGCAACGGCAGTCGCAGTCACAGCCTCAGCCTCAGCCTGCCTCAGCCTCAGCCTCAGCCTGCAGCCTCAGCCTGCCTCAGCCTCAGCCTCAGCCTGCTTCAGCCTCAGCCTCAGTCTGCCTTCAGCCTCGGCCTCAGCCTCAGCCTGCCTCAGCCTCAGCCTGCATCAGCCTCAGCCTCAGCCTCAGCCTGCCTCAGCATCAGCCTGCCTCAGCCTCAGCCTCAGCCTGCCTCAGCCTCAGCCTCAGCCTGCTTCAGCCTCAGCCTCAGTCTGCCTTCAGCCTCGGCCTCAGCCTCAGCCTGCCTCAGCCTCAGCCTGCATCAGCCTCAGCCTCAGCCTCAGCCTGCCTCAGCATCAGCCTGCCTCAGCCTCAGCCTCAGCCTGCCTCAGCCTCAGCCTCAGCCTCAGCCTTCAGCCTCAGCCTCAGTCTGCCTTCAGCCTCGGCCTCAGCCTCAGCCTGCCTCAGCCTCAGCCTGCATCAGCCTCAGCCTCAGCCTCAGCCTGCCTCAGCATCAGCCTGCCTCAGCCTCAGCCTCAGCCTGCCTCAGCCTCAGCCTCAGCCTGCCTCAGCCTCAGCCTCAGCCTCAGTCTGCCTTCAGCCTCGGCCTCAGCCTCAGCCTGCCTCAGCCTCAGCCTGCATCAGCCTCAGCCTCAGCCTCAGCCTGCCTCAGCCTCAGCCTGCCTCAGCCTCAGCCTCAGCCTGCCTCAGCCTCAGCCTCAGCCTGCTTCAGCCTCAGCCTCAGTCTGCCTTCAGCCTCGGCCTCAGCCTCAGCCTGCCTCAGCCTCAGCCTGCATCAGCCTCAGCCTCAGCCTCAGCCTGCCTCAGCATCAGCCTGCCTCAGCCTCAGCCTCAGCCTGCCTCAGCCTCAGCCTCAGCCTGCTTCAGCCTCAGCCTCAGTCTGCCTTCAGCCTCGGCCTCAGCCTCAGCCTGCCTCAGCCTCAGCCTGCATCAGCCTCAGCCTCAGCCTCAGCCTGCCTCAGCATCAGCCTCCTCAGCCTCAGCCTCAGCCTGCCTCAGCCTCAGCCTCAGCCTGCTTCAGCCTCAGCCTCAGTCTGCCTTCAGCCTCGGCCTCAGCCTCAGCCTGCCTCAGCCTCAGCCTGCATCAGCCTCAGCCTCAGCCTCAGCCAGCCTGCCTCAGCATCAGCCTTCAGCCTCAGCCTGCAGCCTCAGCCTCAGCCTCAGCCTCAGCCTCAGCCTCAGCCTCAGCCTGCCTCAGCCTCAGCCTGCCTCAGCCTCAGCCTCAGCCTGCCTCAGCCTCAGCCTCAGCCTCAGCCTCAGCCTGCAGCCTCAGCCTCAGCCTTCAGCCTCGCCTCAGCCTGCCTCAGCCTCAGCCTGCATCAGCCTCAGCCTCAGCCTCAGCCTGCCTCAGCATCAGCCTGCCTCAGCCTCAGCCTCAGCCTGCCTCAGCCTCAGCAGCCTGCTTCAGCCTCAGCCTCAGTCTGCCTTCAGCCTCGGCCTCAGCCTCAGCCTGCCTCAGCCTCAGCCTCAGCCTGCCTCAGCATTCAAAATGTGGCCTGGGAATGGAGTTCTGGGAACTCGAAGAACACGAAGTGGCCTACAGTTGGCTCCGGTCATTCAAAATCATGCCCAGGAATGGAGTTCTGGGAACTCGAAGAACACGAAGTGGCCTACAGTTGGCTCCGGTCATTCAAGATCATGCCCAGGAATGGAGTTCCGGGAACTCGAAGAACACGAAGTGGCCTACAATTGGCTCTGGGCATTCAAACTCATGCCCAGGAATGGAGTTCTGGGAACTCGAAGAACACGAAGTGGCCTACAGTTGGCTCCGGGCATTCAAAATCATGCCCAGGAATGGAGTTCTGGGAACTCGAAGACCACGAAGTGCGTTACTGTTGGCTAAAAAAAAGTCCCCGGATCCCGTCCGGATCTCCCCGGATCCCGTCCGGATCCCGCCCAGACCCCCCTGGGGAGTCATGATGCTCTCTTTTGACACCACTAGAAACCTATCAGTCTTCGCTGTTAGGTAAAAAACAAGTGTGTGTGTGTGTGTGTGCGTGTGTGTATGTGTGTGTGTTCAATCGTTACCTCCTCCTTCCGCGCATCGCGGCCTTACTACTTTGCAAACGGCGTGTCCCCTGTTGCCTTTCCGCCGGAGCAGTCGCCCTCTGCCCAGCCGCCGACGCAAAAAGTGTATGTTCAATCGTCTTCTGCAGCGTTTCGTCGACTGCCCCTCTGCCGAACAATTCCAGAGAAAACTGCTGTCCACAGCAATTGGAGTCATCAAGTCAAGCCACGGTGCCTGGCACAATCTTCCTGGCGTGTTGCGCCTCGCTCAGCAGTTACCACTCGTGCGAGTTCCAGCCTTCGGATCAAGGGCGCCTAACTTCGCGCCTCGCGCGACGCGACACGCGAATAAACTTCGCGCTCTCGCGTCGCCCCCCAAAGGGAGAAGAGGAGGTTGAGGAAGACTCGGAGCGGAACCACGAATAACTTCGCATCCTCGAGGGCGCCCTTGGAGGGTTCGTCGTAGAAAAGCAAAAGGGGGACGGGGACAGAAGAAGCAGGGAGGGGGATTAGCTGCTTGAGAGGCAGCTCGCAGCGGCAGCTGTGGCTCTGTCACTCGTGCGGCCAGGGCCAGACGGCGCCCACCGAAACCGAAGACGACGACGACGACGACGAGGGCGAGGCCGTCCTGCTGTCGCCAGGGCAGGCCCTTTGTAGGGCGCCGCAACAGAAGGCCCGCTTGCCCACCGACCAGCTGCTCTCCCAGTCGCCGTCGGCCCAGCCCACGTCGCAGTCGTAGTGACCCCCAGGCGCGGCACGCTGGTCCTTGGCGGCGGAATAGGGAAGGGCAAAGCGATGACGGCGCTATAGGTATGGATGCGAATTGTCGGACTCAGAGAGAGGCTCCCATTCCAGCAAGGATCCCATCCGACAACACTCACACTCACACACACACACACACACACTCACAGCCCCCCCGAGAAATCTGGGATCACATAGGTGTGGGTGCGAATAGCCAGCTCATGACACAACAAGGGGGTGGTGGTCCCCAAACGGTGTGGTGACCACACGGCGTGGTGAGACAGTGGGGTGGGGGCGGCCGCACGGTGCGGGTCGCTCTCTGATAAGTGTCTTGGGCGCCACAAGCCCCCGAAGTCCCCAGACCGTGCGGTGGGGACCTCCAAGGGTAGGGCGAGTGGGAGGCGGCCGTCCAAGAATGCAGGAGCTTCCTAGAGGAGGGCTCGCAGGCTTCTCGGGAAGCTCCCCAGAAGCCAGGAGGACTTCTAACACAGACATCCGACGATGTGGTTTACAATCCAACCCTTCCTTGGGCTCTTGTTTTAAACATAGCAGCGCGGTCCACTGCCTTCCTTATCCCTCCTCCCTCTCTTGTCCTGCCTCCTGTCTCCTACTTTCTGATTACCTCCTACCTGCTGCCTACCTCGTCATCACTGGGGAGAATGCAAAGAGTGACGCCCCACACAGACCCAGATTAGACCTTACCACTTCTTGGGGGCTGCGAAATGAAATCGTCGTCGCTTTCGAGGGCTGCTGGGGGGGGGCCAGCACAGTGACGCCCCACGCAGACACAGATTAGACCTCGCCATTCCTGGGGGGCTTCGAAATGTGAAGCTGTCGACGCTTTCGAGGGCTGCAGGGGAGGGGCAACACTGCGAAGCCCCACGCGGACTTGATTAGATTTCGCCATTCTTTGGGGGCGCAAGATCAAATCAGTCGCCACTTTTGAGACAATGATGCATCCGTCCATCCCGCCATCGCCTCCTATCGGTGTCGTGTGAGTCCCGCAAAAGAGTGAGCCCCCCCATGTGCCTCTCGCACGAGAATTGTCGGTCATTACCACGTCATCATCCGTAATAACTTTGGCCAAATGTTCGGATCAATCGTTGTAGATGGATAGGGTACGTCGCGAGGTTCTGCAATCCGCGGCCCCAGAAGCCAGCCCGTTTTCCGTCCTGAATCAATACCTGATGTTCCTGGGACCGAAAACGGTCTCCGAGACCGCAATCGAGAACAGACACAGATCGAGCAAATCAGATCGTCGGAGATCTGGGAAGAACACCCCCAATGCCTTGTTGGAAGGGCCCCCCTCGCACTGGCATTGGACGCCTGACATGGGTACGTAAAAAATGGCACGATGTCCAACAACAAACAATATGTCAAACACCGGCAGCGGCCGTTGGTGGGCAGGCGACCGTCACCTCGAACTGACAATGTCCACGGCGACGCCGACAGCGAGCCCTGCTCAAGATGGACAGGAAATGCTGTCCGTCTTCGTCACTACAGTCGACCTGAATAGCAAGGATGCGTGATAAGGATGCAAGGGCCTTGGACATCCATGTCGAAGCTTCTCGAGCGGAGCGCTGCCAACGAAAATGGCCAAGGATGGACCGAGGAGGCAAGGATGCAAAGGTACCCTTGGGAAGTTTGCCCATCCTCACCATGCGGTTTGACTGTCCTGCTCAAGAAGGACAGGAATTGCTGTCCGTCTTCGCTACTATTCTCTCCGTGCCAGTTTCGATCGTACCGACCGACTGCCCCCTTCTGTGCCTCGGCGAGGTCCAGCGACGGCGGCAAATCCGGCGCCGGCGCCACGGGAGGAGTGGGGACTGGCGGCGCCTCTGGGGTCGCCTCCGGCTGCGCCCGAGACAGCGCCGACCGAACCAGGGCGAACAGCAGGACGAGCAAGGCCAGGCAGCACAGGATACCCATCAGCCCGACAAACCTAGGAGGGGGACAAGATTATAAACATAACCTCTCGGGGCTCCACGCGGCCTTCTGGGATCGGCGCTGCGCCCCCCTGGCGGCACCTCCGGTGCCGCCTCTGGCGCGCTCAGCGCGCCAGGATGGGTGGGGGCAGCGGCAATACAAGAAATGCGCTGGGAGCTCTGGAAGTTTTTGTGCAGTTATTTCAGGGGCCTCCTAGATGGGGTCCGAGCAGATGGTGTCGGAGGATCGCGCCGCATCGCCAATGCATCGCCGATGCAACCAACGATGCATTGGCGATGTCGGCGAGGCATCGGCGCCGTCGGCGTGGAGAAAGTCAGGCTCCACATGGAGCCGCATCCCCGATGCATCGGCGATGCGGCGCGATCCTCTGGCCCCACCTACCCGGAGCCCAAGCCCAAATGATTATATCTTCGAGAACCACTTCCGCATCCGCCAGCCGTAAGGCACCGTGATCTCCTGCTTTGCAAAATCGCCGCCCCTCTCGCCTGCGCGTGTCGGGGCTCTACTGACCCAGGTCAATGCAAACGCGGGTCAGTCGGGCCTTGCTGGATCCCGCAGGATCCTGCGCCCAAGCCCGGGTCGGTGCACCCCTGGCTCTGCAGGATCCTGCAAGATCCGACGATCAGACTGACCCCCGTCCCTTGAGCCCCGAACATACCCGGCCAGAGGCATCGCGGGCCCCAGGAGGGTGCGGGTGTGTGGCCGCTCCTGGCCTCGGACAGGAGGGCGCAGACACCACGCTGGGGCCCACGATGGCCCTGGCCAGGCATGCAGTGGTGCCCACATTCCACTCCTGCGCATCGCCGACGTACTGAAAATCCTGGACCCTCTCGTACGCTCCGTGGCCCGTACCCACGTGGCAGAAGTTTGAGACTGGAACGTGCGCCGCCGGCTCGAAGATGACGCCGTCCAGGCCGCAGAGCTGGGGCTCACCCGCCTTCGAAGAAAATGAACTTCAGACCTCTGCGCGGATTTCCTGGATCCGCGCCAGGCCTCATCCCTAGCGCGAGGAGCGCCAGCGCCGATCCAAGAAATCCGCGCGGAGCTCTGAGGGTTTGCGTTCATGCAGGTCATCATTTTTCTCCAACTGCCTGCGGCATCCGCTGCACGTAATGCTGCGGGGCGGCCCAGCTGTCCTGGAGATATATATATATATATATATATATATATATATATACACATATGGAGAGAGACAGAAAGAGAGAGAGAGAGAGAGAGAGATATACAAATACACACATAAAAGAATACAAATAATTACCCTGCGACGTACCCAACCTTTTCTGTACATGTGGCAATGATACTCAGGGCCACCCCATGCTGACTGCCATTCTGAAGGACCCGCAGTGCGCATGAAGAGCACCCAGCAGTGATTTCAGAAGACCGCAGCAAAAAAAGGAACGGCAAATATACAAAATGGGAGCATTGGGGGGTGAAATAAACGCGCCCAAAAAGTAATCACAAAAGGGCGCGGCGGCGAGGTCCCGAGGTGGTCCGCGTATGACGTACCTCCGCTGGGCCTCCCAGGAGCCCACGAAAGAGGCGACAGCTGCGCAGATCGCAAGCCCCCCAGGGGGCGGCGAGGTCCAGAGGTGGTCCGCGCATGGCGTACCTCCGCTGGGCCCCCCAGGAGCCCACGAAAGTGGCGACAGTTGCGCAGATCGCAAGCCCCCCAGGGGACGGCGAGGTCCCGAGGTGGTCCGCGTATGACGTATCTCCGCCGGGCCTCCCAGGAGGCCACGAAAGTGGCGACAATTGCGCAGATCGCAAGCCCGCCAGGGGGCGGCGAAGTCCAGAGGTGGTCCGCGCATGGCGTACCTCCGCTGGGCATCCCCAAGAGCCCACGAAAATGGCGACAGTTGCGCAGATCGCAGGTCCCCTGGGGGGCGGCGAGGTCCCGAGGTGGTCCGCGTATGACGTATCTCCGCTGGGCTTCCCAGGAGCCTACGACGGTGGCGACGGCTGCGCAGATCGCAAGCCCCCCCAGGGGGGGGTAGCTACGAGGTAGCCAACGACGGTAGCTTTTGTTCGAGCTCCGAAGCTTCTCGGTGTACTGGGTGCCTTGTGGAGAATCCTCCCGTGCAAAGTCAGTCGGCGCTGTGAAAAAAAAAGCTCCCGTGAACGCTGCTGCAATCTGGGCGGCGATGCCATAGTCTGTGTCAGCTTTTGCAGCCAAGACTACGTTCCCCTTGCCCTTGGCCTGATTGGCCAGGCGGGCCAGGAAGCCCACTGGGTCGTGAAGCAACTGGAAACGCAAGCGCTGCGCCTTGCGGCGAGCTTCCGCATCTCCCATGCGAGCCAGCATGAAGCCAGGGGGGCGCGGGGGGGGCAGCAGGCAAGCGTCGCGGCCCGCAGCTGGCTTGGCACAGCGCAGGACCTTCTTCTCCCGCGTACCCCTGGCCTTGGCGGCGGCCTTCGCCCCCCCAAGATTGCGCTCTCGGATCTTGCCCCCCCGCTTGGCAACGGCAGCGGCGACTGTTGCAGCTGGCCCGGCTGGATCTGCGCCGCTCGCCTGGGCCGCCTCATGAGCCGCCGCAGCGAGATCGGGGGCGCCCTCCGCGAGAAGGCGAGCGCGCTTGCTCGGGGGAGCGGCCGCCATGGCGTCGACGGCAGCTGCTCGCTTGCGGCCGAAGCCTACCTCTGTCCGGCGTTCTGCCCGAGGTTCCCGCGTGCTTCCCTTGTCGCGCCGCTCGGCCCTCCCCAGCGGCACTGCGATCTTCCCATGGGCGCGCTCATGTAGCTGCAGCACATGCCTGTGCCAACGACTGGCGGCAGAGCTCTCGTCCCGCGGCTGGTCCAGCCACGCGCGCAGCAACCCGCTGGGGGGCGCTGCGTCCACGAGCGTGCACTCCTCCACGGACATGCCGAGCATTTGAGCCCCCTCGGGGCAATGCACCTCTGAGAAACGGCGGAATCGCCTCTCCACGTTGCCCGCGCTCGATTTCCATACTCGGAAGAGCTCCACGAGACGACGGCCGCCGTGGAGCTCGGGCCACTCCGCCGCAGCGCGGCCCCAAGCCTGCCGCGCGGTGCCCCCGTCTCGGCGATGCACCTCGGCACGCGGCAACATTTGCCGCAGCTGGGGGGTGGGGTGGGTCGAGGTGTGGCAGATGCGCCTCAAACGAGCCTCGGCTTCTGTTGCATGCTCCGCTGCGCCCGCGTCTGTTGCAGACAGGGGGGGGGGGGGGGCTAACGAAAAGCAGCAAACGCGCGAAACCGAGAATGCTCTGGCCGATACAGCCTCATGTTCTCCGTCACGTTGGCAACGGTTCCCTGCGCCCGTCGAAGAGCCGCCTTGATGGCGTCGCGGGCTCGGGGCTCCGTATTCCAATCGCCGATGCCAACGGTCTGGGCGCCGCTGCCAAAGGCGGACCGCTTCGTGCCCCTCAGAAACTTGGGTGACGCCAGTGTGCGTGTCGGGGATGCCCAAGATACCCCCCTTGACGAACAACGCTTCCAGCTTGGAGAGGAAAGCGGCGGCCCTCGATTGAACGCTTGCAGCGTCGGGGTTGCCCTTGTCCCCGGTGGCGACCCAGGTGTAGTGCTCCGCGCGCAAGTCGGCCAGCAACCCCCCCAGGAGCAAGCGCGAACTGGTATCGCCCCCGAGCCCTTCCAAGAAACGTCGGGCGATAATGCGCCGATCTGCGTCAGCCCCCTGGGGCTCCACTCCGAGCGCATTGAATATGACTTTCAAACGCCCGCTTTCCCGTGCGAAGGGCCTCGCCCGACTGTCGAAACGCTGGGGGGGCCCAGCCGAAGTTTTCGACGAACGCAATGCCGTCTTCCACCAGCTGCTGCCCCCCCCCCAGTGTGGTGCGGAACACGGTGGAGTTGGTCAGGAACTTGGCCAGACTTGGCGGCTTCTTACCCGTTACCAGCAGCTCGTCCGTGATCGTTCTTTCGCTGTCTCCTCTCATCGAATGGGCCAGAACCTTCTGGGGCGAGTGCGACTCGCCCCACGCGTGGAACGCCAGCCGAGGGAACGTAGCTGTCGCAGCCAGGGGTACACTTAGATCCGCCCCATCGCTGCACCATGCCCGCATATCCTCTCGCACATGCTCGTGCCAGTCCCCGTCCAGCTCCCCGCCTGCCGTCTGGCACGCGCGACGGACGCAGTCCTCCAGCATAGAAGCCTTGCCGTCGCAGTCCATGGCCCGTGGGAACTCCCGCACCCCGATCACCCGCTCCACGATCCAGGGCACTTCGGGGCCCAACTGTTCCAGCCAGCCTGCCTTGAGACCGTAGCTTGGGAGGAAGTCCAAAGCCTTCGGGATCGACCGCAGCACGGCGCCGATCTCGACCTGGCACGCGCGGTCGAGGCCGTCCGCAGCCAAACGAAAAAACAGCACCATGTTGGATAATCCTCTGCGTCGCGATCCTCTCGTACTGAGCCATTGCGGCCGCCGCCCTTCGGCGATGCTGACGAGACCCCAAAACTCCGCGGTCGCCCCCGACGAGCGCATCCCGCCACACATCGAAACTTCTGAAGGAACTGGGCGTCTCTATGAGTGCACGGGCGGCGACCACTTGTCGGCGGCGCGGGCGCCGACGGGCGCGTGCGCCGCGGCTGTTGCAGCTGTTGCGGCTGATGCGGCCGTTGTGGGGAACACAGACACGGGGTTGCCCGAGTGCGAGGCTTCCGCTCGAATCCGCTCTTCCACGCCGCTTCTGCTGCCTGGTGCTCGTCGCACCGCATGGCGCAGGAGGTTTTCCTTGCGTTGGAAACTCCCGGCCCCCTGGCCTAATATGGATTGTAACGGGCGCCCTTGAACGCCGAGCAGAACAAGCAGACTGCAAATCGACCATCTACGCAGCCTGTCCAAATTTCAGGCCTCTGGGTGACTGGATTCGTCGCAGACAGAGAGGCGCCCCACTGCTCCTTGGTTTTTCCCCAAATTTGCAAGCGCCGCACGTCGCGATGTTCTCTGGGTAGTGGTGGCTGGCGACGTGCTCCTTCAGGGCCATGGGCAACGAAGGTCAGAACTTCTCGGCTACTTTGCTCGGGGCGGCCTTCGCCTTCGCTTTTGCAGCCGCGGCTGCCTCGCTGCTGGGGCCGCGGCCCTCTTCGGGGCCGCTGTTGGAGTCGCCATCCGAAGACGAGCCTTCGGAAGACGAGGCTTTGCTGTTACAGCCCAGCCTGTCGTCGGCAACTCCGTCGGCGTCGGCCGCGTCGTCGGCGCCAGCGCCCGAGCTGTTGCAGCCGCGGCTCGACGAGGCCGCTCTCGCCGAAGCCGACGAGGCCGCGCGGCTCGACGGGGCCGCGCGGCTCGAGGGGGCGCCATTCGACGGGGCCGAGGCCGCTCTCGACGAGGCCGCCCTCGACGAGGCCGCACGGCTCGAGGGGGGCGCATTCGACGAGGCCGAAGCCGAGGCCGCTCTCGACGAGGCCGCAGGGCTCGACCAGGCCGCCCTCGACGAGGCCGCAGGGCTCGGGGGGGCCGCAGGGGGCGACGAGGCCGCAGGGCTCGGGGAAGCCGCATCAGACGACGTTGCATTGAGCCAAATCCTACGGACCACAATGGTGCTGATGGTGATGGTGATAGTCATGCCGATGGTACGGAGGGTGATGATGACGGTGATGGTGATGATGGTATGGTGAGGGTGATTGTGATGGTGATGATGGTGATGGTGATGATGGTGATTGTGTATGATCCCCACCATCATCATCGCAATCACCATCGCCATCACCATCGGCACTACGATAGGATAATCACCACCATCACTACCGGCATCAGCATCAAAGCACAAAACACTCAACTCACTCAACTAAAACCAGCCCTAAAAACAGCCATGCAGCTCCAGTGCATGGCCCTCTTCGTGAACCGCCTGGAGCAGGCCTTCCTCGAGCGCCCCGATCCGAGCAAACCGTGGACCCATCCAGCTCGCGCCCTAATGACCACGATCATGGACGGCGGGGGTGGCTGCAGCAAGACGACCTTGAGCACCGAGATCTTGCTGCCCTTACTCGAGACGTTCTTCCACCCCGAGGGGGTCCCACGACGTGCCCCTTCGAACAAACCCGCTCGACTGATCGGCGGTCGCACCGCGCGCTCTGGCCAGTGGCTGTCGCCCGACAGCTCCACGCGAACACGCGCGTTGGCCTTGAACGCGCGGACTCGCCAAACATATGCCGTCACCCACGTCGACGCAGGCGCCTTGTATGTCAACGAGTCCTCGCAACTACAAGGCGAGCTCAACCGCGCCGGGGCTCTACGAACCACGTGCGCCCGCGAAGCAAAATACGGCTTGAACAAGGACGTGTACTTCAAGCCTCAGGAGCGGTGGGGACGCTGACCTGCGGTGGTCTACTCCGGCGACCACTTGCAGCTACCACCAGCCCCAGCCTCGTCCAGCATGCTGGCACCGCTCGAGGGCACTACGAACGAGCACAAAGTCGGGGCCAATATTTTCCGCGACGCGGATTTGGTGTTCGAGCTCCAAGGGGCCACGCGCTGCACCGACCACGCACTCATCGACATTCTGAACACCATGCGGGTGCCGGGCGGCAGGGCCCTCACGGAGCAACAGTGGCAGGCCCTCAAGTACACCGAGGTCAGTGCGGAACAGCCTGACATCCCAGCGTCGTGGTACCACTCGTGCTACTGCTGGAACGTCATCAGCATGACCGCGTTCATGCTCGCACGGCAGTCCGCCCGTGAGGCCCGGCAAACTCTATTTTACGTGCAAGCCGTGGACCAAGCCAAAGGCATCATACCAGAGACGAGCACGGCACAGTTCTACGAGGACTTACTTCGGATACCCAGCATCCAGAACACGAGACGCCCCCCACCGGCGGTGCTCTTCCATTACGGCATGCGAGCACGGCTCGCGACCGCGATCCAGCAACCTTTTGCTGTACAGGACGTCGAGAGCACCGCTGTCGGTTTTGACCTGGACCCCGCCGACCTCGCCACGAAAACCAGGCTTCGGTTAGCATCCGCCTCGCACGCCGCGGAATTCGCATGTCCTCTCATGCCGAAGGCTATTTGCGTGAAGCTGGACGACTGCGATCTCCAGCTCTTACCGCTAGCAGTGTGTCCGGAGCATCCCGAGCGCAGCTCGACGCGCACTCGCTGCGCCAATGCTGCGCAGCCTGGCGCCGTGGCCATCCGGCCAAGGCCGCGCGCGTTCAAACACTTCTACTCACCAACGGAGAATACCAAATACGTCATAATCTCACGGACACAGATACCGCTGATGCCGGCGGCGGCCGACCCGCTCTACTCGATGAAGGGCGCCACGGCAGATCCCGGTCTGGTGGCCTACTGGTTCTTTCCGCAACGACGCTCCGACACCATCCGATGGTTGATTGTCTACGTGATGCTCTCACGGCCTCGCTCACTTGCTACCCTCAAGTCCGTGAATCTGGCGAGGCAGATCCGTGACTTCATAGAACAGGGTCCGCCCGAAGATCTCGTCGCCAACTTCGATCGACTTTTCAATGAAAAAGTCGAGGCGACGAGGGAGCTGGCACGAGAGGCCGCACGTGCCTACGGCCTCCTGACAGAACTCTCTCGAGCGACACACCCCTGCAGTGCTGCACAGCCTGCAGCCGCAATGTCCACGACAGCAGCCGCGGGCATCATGGGTCGGCACTACAACACCTTCTACAGCAGTGGCCACTCGACGACGACGGCGACAAACGCGATCGCAGGGGGGCGAAGGGGCTTGGCGCGGCGGCGTGGGCATGGGAGCCACCGACCCTGCAGCATACCAATAATCATCGATGAACGACCTCACCACGACCGTATGTTCATCACCCGCATTATCTTTCCATGGCGACCCGCGACGGCCATGACATTCTTCGTAGCGGCCCATTTTTCGTAGCGGCGGGTCTGCATACCCACGGTGCTGCATAGCCCGTGGTGTCTCGCTACCCGTCCCTCGTTAGCATCCAACAGGTAGACCCACATGCAGCATGGTCATGATGTAAACGTAGTTGCTCCCCGCTTGCGCACGCTACCTAGGAGCAGGAGAGCGGCTGCATGCTCGCAGCAAGGCGTATCCGCGGTGCTGCACAGCCCGCGGTCGCTGGATGGCGTTCGCCGCGGCATGACAGAGCACTGCGGCATGACAAAATGCATGACAAGATGTGCTTCGCTCCGCGCCCCCTGCCAGCTCCCCATCCGATGGTGTATGTGATTTTCGAAATTCGTTTCGGGGTCACGGGGGGCCCTGCGCGGTTTGGGCGGGGGGCTTGACCCCCCCTGCCCCTCCGGGTCCCGGTGCCATTGTGCCTCAAGCGCTAGACGTGATCAGCCTCATCGGTGACCCAGATGGCCAATAGTGCCGGCAGCGGGGCCAATGGCGCCGGCGCGCAGCGCGGCCCGGGGCAGGCTCAGCCGGATGGCACACCATTCGAAGTGATGGCGTGGGCCTTCGAAGGAGAGGAGCCTTTTCTGGCGCCCATGCGTGGACTGCGGCCTGCGGACGGGGTGCTTCTGCGACGGTTGCTTCGCCTCCACCCGCTGGCCGCTGGAAACGTGGGAAGAGGGGCAGCGGGCGCCGTTGCGCGCGGATTGCGACCGGCGTCATAGCGGCCTGTGCCATTATTGTCGGGGGCTGTCTTGGGCGACTCCTCCGACTCGCGGCCCGGAGCGCCCTGGTGGCCGGTGAGCCTGGTCGCGCCAACGGCCTCCTGCCAGAACTCTCTTGAGCGACGCGCCCCAGCAGTGCTGCGCAGCCTGCAGACAGAGCCTCATTGAGAGGGGCGGCGGGCCTCATTGGTAGCAGACAGAAGTTGATGAACAGAGGTCCAGCCAGCCATTGCGCGAGTGTAGCCGGGGACGGGTCCAGACTTCCGGCTGCGTGCATCTCGTTATCACCGCACCGCAGCCTCTATTGCTCCGGCGCAACCCGCGGCAAACCGCTCTCCGAACCGGCGAACCCTCCGCACAGCCGCCGATGTCACAGTCAGAACAGTGCGGCCCCGACAGCGGTGCTGCACAGCCCGCCTCGGCACCAGGTGGGGCCTCACATGTATCAGCCAACAGTGCTGAACAGCCTGGTTCTCGAGACTCTTCCGATGGCAGCGCTGAACGACCTGCCCCCCCAGAACCTTTCGAGACCCTGGCAGACCTTTGGCATTGGGCGGAGCAGCCTCCTGAAACAGCACGGAGGGCAGATCCTAGATGCCGTGTTCGCGAGGCCTTGCGTGTCTTAGAACTCGATACTTCAAGAGATGCCCGGAGGCAGCTGCAGGCTCTGTTGAAATCGTGGGATATCAAACAAAAGGATCCATCCAACAAAAAACGGAATGTCGTCGAGGTGCACCAGCGCTTGCGCGCGGCAGCGCTTAAGGAAAGGACCAGATTAGGAACAATTGTCTCTTTCAGCAGTCGGGCAAGCTTTGAGAATCTGTTCCGTCGTCGTGCCGCAGGGGCCAGCCGTCGTGCCCGAAGCCGATCAGCGAGGCGCGGATCCCTGTGCAGTGCTGTACAACCTCCACAGTGCTGAACGCTTGCACACACTCGCGGAGCAGGAGAGGAGCAGGAGAGGAGAGCAGGAGAGCGGCCGTTTGCTCGCAGCAAAGCGAATCCGCGGTGCTGCACAGCCCGCGGTCGCTGGATGGCGTTCGCCGCGGCGTGACAGAACAGTGCTTCGCAGTGGCCAAACCAAAGACGCGCTTCGCTCCGCATCCTCCGCCAGCCTCCCATCCGATCGTATATATGTACAAATGCACATGTACCCAGCTATTTGCATATATATATATATACATATGTATATACATGATGCATGTATATATATATACACGCAGAACTACACCATCGAAGCGCCTCATTAGCGAAATAACTGCCCATGCAATGACGAATCGATAGTGAATCCGTTGGCCTCCCATCAGGAGCTCTTTGATGTCCTGTATGTGTGTGCGTCCTCTCTCTCTGCTCATCATCATCATCATCACCATCATCATCATCATCGTCTCATTCCGTAGACATGTTTTCTTTAGCCCGGAGGCCCTAACCACGCAGCAACTCACGCTCATGTCCCGAGGTTGGCGGAGTAAGGCAGGCGGTGCTGCGTAGCCCACCTTGACACCAGGTGGCGCTGCACAGCCCACCTTTTCTGCTTTGCCTGACGGCGCATCCGAGTTGACTTTGGCTTTCTACAACGCGGGCATCCAGGCGTCGCAAGTCGGTGCGAAGAAATGGACAGACAACCATAGAGAAACAACTGGCCGCGGACGTCGTCAAGGCCGCCAACGAGCACGCGTTGGACATCCTTTGCCTCGGCGGCCTTGGCGAGCTCGGCGTGGACATTGGAAAGAAACTCCCAGAAAGCGACGTCGGCGACTGGGTCCGCAACCTGCTCGTCGACAGTGCGGTATCGCCTGTCGCTATCTACGCCGACGGACATTGCGCGACTCTCGTGCTATCCGATCGGGCGCAGGTCCTTCAGTGCCGGGTCATCAGGGACTTCGCGCACACCCAGCCGGACCGGCGCTTCCAACACTTCCGCGCTCGCACGACCGAGCGCGACGAGCCCATCTCCATCGTCAATTGCCACGCGCCTTCCTCGCAGAAACGACCGCTGACGGTGGCCGGGCGTCTGCTGTACTTCACCGCATTTCATCAGGCATGCGCTGGTGACCCGTTCATCTGGGGCGGCGACTTCAACGCGGGGCTCATGCAGCTCACCGCCCTTCTCGCGTGGATTGATGATCGCTACAACATGAGTTCCAGTGCTGCACGGCCTGGTTCATTGCGAACGGTGTTCTCCCATCCGCTAACGTTCAAGCACGGCGACTTCGCGGTGACGTTCGGCCTTTGCAGTGCCCAAGTGAAGTCCGAGATTGGGGCCTCGTTCAACGGAACGAGTGACGCCCATGATGTCGTAGTCGCCAAAGAGCTTCGAAACGCGAGCCGCCCGGCACCCCTGCCAGAGCCTGAAGCCAACTCTTCGCGCAGCGCTGCGCAACCTGCTCGACAGGGGCCCGCCGGCAGCGCGGGGCCGCCGCCCCCCCGGCAATCGGCGCTGCATGGCGCAGAGCGGCCGGAGTGGCCGACGCCCACGCGCCCGGCGCCGCGGCCAGAGGCTGACGCCAACTTTTCGAGCAGCTATGCACAGCCTGCTCGGCAGGAGGCCGCCGGCAGCGCGGCGCCGCCGCGCCCCCAACAATCCTTAGCACTGCATGGCGCAGCGCGGCCGCAGTGGCCGATGCCCGCGCGCCCGACGCCGCGGCCAGAGGCTGAATCCAGTTTGCCAGCAGCGCTGCACAGCCTGCTCGGCGGGAGCCCGCCGGCAGCGCGGGGCCGCCGCCCCCCCCAGCAATCCTCGGCACTGCATGGCGCAGATCGGCCAGAGTGGCCGATGCCCGCATGCCCGGCGCCGCGGCCAGAGGCTGAAGCCAGCTCTGCGACAAGCGCTGCGCAGCCTTCTCGGCAGGAGCCCGCCGGCTATGCGGCGCCGCCACCCCCCCGGCAATCCTCGGCACTGCATGGGGCAGAGCGGCTGGAGTGGCCGATGCCCACGCGCCCGGCACCGCAGCCACAGGCTGAAGCCACCCCTGCGAGCAGCGCTGCACAGCCTGCTCGGCAGGAGCCCGCCGGCAGTGCGGAGCCGCCGCCCTCCGAGCAATCCTCGGCACTGCATGGCGCAGAGCGGCCAGAGCGGCCGATGCCCACGTGCCCGGCACCGCTGCCATTGGCTGAAGCCAGCTCTGCGACCAGCGCTGCACAGCGTGCTCGGCAGGAGCCCGCCGGCAGTGCGGGGCCGCGGCCCCCACAGCAATCCGCGGCACTGCATGGCGCAGAGTGGCGCAATCCGCGCTACCACCGCGTCAACACGATCTTCGGCACTGACGACCCCAGCACGGCGCCGCTGCAAGAGGTGCTGGAGTCCACTGAAGCAGATCGGCAGCCAGTTCCTCTTCGGGAAAGTGGCGAACATCGCGGCATCGTCGAGGGGATGCTACGAACTGGCGACTGTTCCCTGCATCGTCGAGAAGCTGGAAGCTTTTTTGCAGTCGCCCAGGAGCAGCGCCCCCGCCATCTGCGACAGCATCCGTCGCCAACCTCCGACGCCGCGTTCAGTCACGAGGACATGCAAGAGATCCACCGCGCGTGGATGGAGGACCACGAGAGCTGGATGAATGGCGAGACCCTTCACAGCTACAGCTGGTGGTCTGATGGAACGGGCAAGGGCAGCCACCAGAACGCTCATCAGTTACGGCGTAGTGCCTTTTCGGCGCTTCTCTTCCAAATCATCGGCAACAAGCACGTGGTGCTGGCATCCATTCAGCATCCGATATGCAGTGCTGCACAGCCTGCAAGTGCGATCCAGCGCTTCATGCGCGCTTGGGAGGAGGAGAAGTCTTCGGACGAGCACAAGAAGCGGATGCAGATCTCCGAGAGAGCGTGATCCACCGCCGATTTACTGTGGAAAATTGCCAACCATTTCCTCCGGAACCCGGGGGTCGCCCCCCCCCCCCCTCCGAAAATCCCCTCCCC